TGAACAGTTGTGTACAAGTTTCTGTGTGGATATATGTTTTCATTTCTCTTGGGTATATGCATAGGGTAGGTTTCTGAGTCATATATGGTCATTGTGTGTTTTAGTTTTTAAAAAATATACATATTTTTATTGACTTCAGAGAGAGGGAGAGAAACAAATGATGAAAGAGAATCATTGATCCTATTGGGGATGAAACCAGCAACCAGAGCATGTGGCCTGACCTGGAATCCAGCGGTGACCTCGTGGTTCATGGGTCCACGTTCAACTACTGGGCCTCACCGGCTGGGCTCTTTAAATGCTTGTTAACCTGGATTAACTAGGAATCCCGTTTTAAGAGTACTTGTATTTGAGGAAATAGAATCTCTAAAAACGAAGGTGTGTCGTTTGTTTTTTTCCAAAAGAGACTAGGGTAGCCCTGGCCCCATACTCATTAGAGAAGTATCAGTATTGAGCCAAGTGTAACCCCACTTAGACGGTGCTAACAGCAAATGAAAAGTCACTTCTTATTCCCAGAATGAAAGACCCGTAGAGACTGGCTTACACTATCCCAGGGCATTTTGGCTAACATTAGCTTCTCTTTGAAGGCCTAGCAAATAACATTTAGGATTGATAGCTGTGTATATGCTGAGTTAAATTAAGATTTGTGGTTGGGTTTCCTTTTTTGTTTTATTTATTTACTAGAGGCCTGATGCACGAAATTTGTGCAAGGGGCTTGGCCCTCACAGCTGTGGCTTTGGAAGGTCAGCGGAAGGACGTCTGGAAGGTCATTTGGCTGTCCGGTCTAATTAGCATATTACACTTTTATTATTATAGATTGTAATATATATTTTTTATTGATTTCAGAGAGAGAAACACCAATGATGAGAGTGAATCATTGGTCACCTTCCTCCTGCATGCCTTCTACTGGGGATTGAGCCCAAAACCTGGGCATGTGCCCTGACTGGGAATCGAATTGTGACCTCCTGGTTCATAGGTTGACACTCAACCACTGAGCTGCTCCACAGTTTAAAAAAAACTACCTTGCATATTTATGTGCTTACATGACATTTTGTTTTTCTTAACACTCAGTCAACCTTGTATATACTTGTCCTATCTTTATATGAAATTAAAGGTTATATATGTTTATATTAATCTTATATAGCCTGCATCTCCTAGCAAAGTGTCTTGCATGTAGCAGTAGCAGATGCTCCTCAAAGATTGGTGGGATAAATGATTGTTAGTAGGTGAGAACTTATAATAGATTAAGGTTTGATCATCTTCAGTGGGTGTTATAACTAAATATTTTGGATTTGGGAAACTACAAATTTTTCTAATTACATTTTGATAGGCAGTTTGACCAGTGAATGTGTTTAGTAGCAGAATTAGTGTGTTTTGAGCTGCTATTTCATGTTGCTTGCCATGCATTTTCCTTTCTTTATTGGATGTGGTGTTAACTTGTTGGATGCTTTACTTTTCAAATACATTATTTCTCAAGATTATGGTAAAAGCACACGTCATAGTGACCGGTTGTTCAGTTGTTCTGCCCATCGGTCTATTTGCATATTAGGGTTTTATATAGATAGAT